GTGACTATGTTTGAGTGTGGATATTGACATGTGTGGTGACTGTGTTTGAGTGGATATTGACATGTGTGGTGACTGTGTTTGAGTGTATATTGACATGTGTTGTGACTATGTTTCAGTGTATATATTGACATGTGTGGTGACTATGTTTGAGTGGATATTGACATGTGTTGTGACTATGTTTGAGTGTATATTGACATGTATGGTGACTATGTTTCAGTGGATATTGACATGTGTGGTGACTATGTTTGAGTGTGGATATTGACATATGTGGTGACTATGTTTCAGTATATATTGACATGTGTGGTGACTATGTTTGAGTGGATATTGACATGTGGGGTGACTGTGTTTCAGTGTATATTGACATGTGAGGTGACTATGCTTGAGTGGATATTGACATGTGATGTGACTATGTTTGAGTGGATATTGACATGTGTTGTGACTATGTTTGAGTGGATATTGACATGTGTGGTGTATGTTTCAGTGTATATTGACATGGGTGGTGTATGTTTCAGTGGATATTGACATGTATGTATATTGACATGTGTTGTGACTATGTTTCAGTGGATATTGACATGTGTGGTGTATGTTTCAGTGGATATTGACATGTATGGTGACTATGTTTGAGTGGATATTGACATATGTGGTGACTATGTTTGAGTGGATATTGGCATGTGTGGTGACTATGTTTGAGTGGATATTAACATGTGTGGTGACTGTTTCAGTGGATATTAACATGTGTGGTGACTATGTTTGTGACATGTGTTGTGACTATGTTTGAGTGTATATTGACATGTGTTGTGGATGTTTCAGTGGATATTGACATGTGTTGTGACTATGTTTGAGTGGATATTGACATGTGAGGTGACTGTGTTTGAGTGGATATTGACATATGTGGTGACTATGTTTGAGTGGATATTGGCATGTGTGGTGACTATGTTTGAGTGGATATTAACATGTGTGGTGACTGTTTCAGTGGATATTAACATGTGTGGTGACTATGTTTGAGTGGATTTTGACATGTGTGGTGACTGTGTTTCAGTGGATATTGACATGTGAGGTGACTATGCTTGAGTGGATATTGACATGTGATGTGACTATGTTTGAGTGGATATTGACATGTGTAGTGACTGTGTTTCAGTGTATATTGACATGTGAGGTGACTATGCTTGAGTGGATATTGACATGTGATGTGACTATGTTTGAGTGGATATTGACATGTGTGGTGTATGTTTCAGTGTATATTGACATGGGTGGTGTATGTTTCAGTGGATATTGACATGTATGGTGACTATGTTTGAGTGGATATTGACATGTGTGGTGTATGTTTCAGTGTATATTGACATGGGTGGTGTATGTTTCAGTGGATATTGACATGTATGTATATTGACATGTGTTGTGACTATGTTTCAGTGGATATTGACATGTATGGTGACTATTTTTCAGTGTATATTGACATGTGTGGTGTATGTTTCAGTGTATATTGACATGGGTGGTGTATGTTTCAGTGGATATTGACATGTATGGTGACTATGTTTGAGTGGATATTAACATGTGTGGTGACTGTTTCAGTGGATATTAACATGTGTGGTGACTATGTTTGAGTGGATTTTGACATGTGTGGTGACTGTGTTTCAGTGGATATTGACATGTGAGGTGACTATGCTTGAGTGGATATTGACATGTGATGTGACTATGTTTGAGTGGATATTGACATGTGAGGTGACTATGTTTGAGTGGATATTGACATGTGTGGTGACTATGTTTGAGTGTATATTGACATGTGTTTTGACTATGTTTGAGTGTATATTAACATGTGTGGGGACTATGTTTGAGTGGATATTGACATGTGTGGCGTATGTTTCAGTGTATATTGACATGTGTGGTGTATGTTTCAGTGTATATTGACATGGGTGGTGTATGTTTCAGTGGATATTGACATGTATGTATATTGACATGTGTTGTGACTATGTTTCAGTGTATATTGACATGTGTGGTGTATGTTTCAGTGTATATTGACATGTGTGGTGTATGTTTCAGTGGATATTGACATGTGTTGTGACTATGTTTGAGTGTATATTGACATGTGTGGTGACTATGTTTGAGTGGATATTGACATGTGTGGTGACTATGTTTGAGTGGATATTGACATGTGTGGTG